GACATTTACATTGTTTTATCTACTTTGCAAAGACTGAAGACTGAATCAATACTTGCAAGGAGAGTGTACAAAGTGACTTGTCCTGACTTTTACAGTCACTTTACCATGTGATCAAAGAAAGGTAGTGTGCAGGAAGCATGGACTTTTGGGTCAGGAATTCTGACTTTGCTACTGCTGCTGGTGGTGGTGGTGTTGATGATGATAGTGACAGGTTGGACCTTGGACATATTACTTATTTTCACAGAAACCCTTCGTAGAATATGTTTGGAACATCTTTAAAAGAGGGATGCCTACACCAAAATAACTAAAAGAACAAGAAAGACTTACAATGAATTTTACTAGTGCATCACAATGAGAACCTCCACATTGAATCTAGATTAATGCATTTGTGTACATCCATTTAATTTCACTAAAACACATTTAATTTAGAAATTTTAAGTAGAATGTAGTTTGATGCAATAGAAAGTTGTTCTGTGTGAGCATGGTGGGGTGTATACATGCACATGCATGCATCTTAGTTGGGAAGCTGACTCTGAATATCTTATGTGGAAAGAGCATCAGGCTTGCTGCTATTGTTTTGCAAAGTGGTGGATACATTCCTCTTATTTATTAATCATTAGCTTTCATAGTAGAGGTCTCTGTAGATTGACTCAAGGACTGAATTAAAGCATTGTGAACATTACAGCTTAATGAACATTTATTGTAAAAACACTACATTTTAGTTTGCAGGCTTTTCACATTCTTCATGTTTCTTGATTATGCTCTGATTGTATCTTTATCATTAGGCTGTGTCATGACTGACCTATAAACAGGTTTTTTGTTACATATAATGCAGAATAAATTGTAAGTATATTTAAAAATTTCTCCCCCTTTTTTCTTAGTATCTTTGAAATTTATACAGGGCTTCTTTCCTACCCCCACTTTAAAATAGCTTCTTTGAGAATTTCAAACAAAGTACTTTGATTGTATTTACTCCTCTTCTCACATTTTCCAAATCCATGCCTTCTTTCCTATCCTACTCTGTGTTCTCCTCCTCCTCCTTCAAAACCCACCAAATACTGTTTATGTTGTCCATGTACTCTTGGATATATAACTTTCACTGGGGGTGGTCTACCCACCAGGGCCCACACTCTTAAAGAAAACTGGTTCTCCTCTTGGCAGCTACCAATTGCCAAAAGCTCCTTAGGTAGGGGTGGGACTTGGTGCCCCCTCTCTCCAGGATGATTTTTTTCTGGCTGGAGCCAGCACAGCTGTAATGTTTTTAATGTTTTTTTTGTGTCTGTTCATTTGAAAGGTGGTGGCAGAATGAAAGAAGTTCAGGAAAATCAACAGGCTTTATTTGACTTTAAGCAACAATATTAATCAGAATTGGAATTAGTGCTTCGAGATCTTTCATTTCTCAAGGTAACTTTTATGAGACAGATAGTGAGTGAGATGATCTGGTATGGCACAGTGCTCAGATTCTGAGGAACTGAGAGTTATATCACTGCAACAGTTCCCTCCCTACAGAATGAAAATAAAAAAATACAAACTATTATCAACAGTGTTAACCCCAAGACAGAACACAAAGAAGAAAGATCAATTTTATAGTTAGTGCTTCATTTGTTTTTCATGTTTTTCCATGAACTGGACACACTCGAATCTATTCCTCCTTCAGTCTGCCGGCTGAGTCAGGATGATACTCTGCTAATGTATCTTTAGCTCCATGGTGATGTCCTCATGCATGGAGACTCATACTTGGGTCTGTTCTGCTCTTCGAGTTTTCCCTTCCTAGGATCTCGTTTCTGTCCAGTATTAAGGTAGACAGGTACTCCTCTGTAGAAACATCTCTTGCCAATGAACTCCTTTCAACTTACTGACACCTTTGTACAATATCTGAAAGTTTCATGAAATGCATAGCAGATGTACTGAGGACAATTAGATTTTGTTTCAGTTTGGGGACATAGGAGTTTGGCCTGGCTTACCTTAAATGTGCTCAGTTGGGCAAAATAATTTAACTCAAAGCTCATTTTATTATAAATGTTGATTTTCTCAGAAAAGTCTTCGGATGCTTAAAGTAAAAATCACAATGGTTGTATGGGTCTGTTTTTGCACACTGTAAAATAAAAATAATTGTGAGGGAAACCATCATAGCTGAGGGACCATCTGTATATTCTTGGGAGTCTTTATCTCAAGTGTTCATTAAAATATGTACACATCTACACAAAGATATAAAATTTATATTCATTGCATACAGCATATATGTGAAATCAAGAATGTTAAGCGAGGTTACTTCAGTGGGAAAATTTTTTGCAAGATTTCACAGAAATTCTGGCTGATAATGTTGACTCTGATATTTGAAGTAACATAGTAGTTATCTTTGTGTTTTATATTTTTATAACTATATTTATAAAGATGTTTATGTTTTTAATAGCCCCAAGCTGGAAATTACTTCTGTATCAACAATAATAGAATAAACTGTTGCATACCCAAACAATGAGCTATGAATGACCATGAAAATGAATGGATTGCATAGGTAATAAAAGGGATGAATCTTAGGTGTGGGTGAGCCAGCCACAAAGCTGGGAGCATGGGAGAGATGTTCCCATTTCTCATCTGTCTTGTGGAGGCATGGGCAGGGGAATGGTCCCATCCCCCACCAGCTGCAGCAGCAGGGAGAGCAGACCCTGCATCTTGCCAGGGCAGTACAGTAGAGACAACCCTGTTAGCTCATGTGTGAGTGAGCCAGCCCTGAAATTGTGAGCATGGTAAAGCTGTCCTATTACCCATATGTCTTGTGGTGGCATTGGTGGGGCAAAGTTGCTGCCCCACCCCACACCTATCAGTGTTTGGGACAGGTAAGAGTGGGAGAGTCAGCCCTGTTACTGCAGCTGTTGGCAAGCCAGCCCCAAAAGTTGTGAGCACGGGAGAGGTGGACCAACCCTACAGCTGCCAAGGCCCAGACCCAGACCCAAGGCTGTGACTTGGTTATGAGTCAAGGTTATGAGCCCCATCATCCAGCTCATCTATGATCTGCTGGAGCGCATGAAGGAACCTGACCCACAGACCCAAAGCTGCAGGATCTCCACAACATGAGGCAACAACAGGATACCCAGGAAGAGTCCTAGTGAGGACCAGCATCAGTAGTGTACTAGAACAAGAGACCTTGAAACAGACCAATGACTCTTTGCAATGAACACTTCTTATTAAAGATATGTGGACAAAGGGATTTACAGTGTGACTCACTGTGTCACATCACAGCTTTCATGATGAGATTTTTAAGTTTTACCCTTATTTTATTTTTTCTCTTAAATTTTGTTTTATTTGGGGTATATGCATGGGTGGAGGGTGGCTTCAAAGGGACAAGGAAATGTGTGGGATCAAGAAACATGATTTAAAAGACACACAGAATTAAAAGAAGGTATGAGTCTTATCATTATACTATTGAATTATGAACATTATGAAGCAAAATTAAGCTAGACATAGGAGAAAGGAGGGAAAGGTTTTATATAATTTCATTTGTGATGTAGTCAAAGGATTACAATAAATCTATTTTGGTATTTTTCTGAAGTTAAGGGTTATGACATGAAGGGAACCCATTTGGATCTGCTGAGATGTTGTCAGTTCTGTTTCTGGATGTGTATTCTATCAATAGAGAATATTCAGCTTGTTACAAAAATAATAATTTGATTGCACAGATGTGAAAATTTCAGACATGCACTTATGTCAACAGAATTTGTTTACAAACCCAAATATATGCTAGACTCCCAAGAAAACCAGTATGCCACTATTTGGGCTCCTCCTTGGAGCTCCTTCTCCCTTTTGAGTTCCCAGAGAAGCCCAAGGACTTTCAGGGTCTAGAAATAGGGGTATGGGGAAGGACCAATATACCTTATAACACAAAAGGCATGCCTTTTTGATAAACCTATTATATTTGTTTATTCTAGAGACTCTGTGAAATATTATGTGTTATACAGATCAAGTATGACAGTCTTCCAACATCAGTCAAGGTGAAAATTTTAGCTATGCTCTCTTAGTACTAATTCTAACAATCATTTCCTGAGAACTTGCTCTGTCATAGGCACAGGGAATGCAATGCTCAGGCTCTAGTATCCACACCATTCTCAGACAGCCTTACCGCAGGACTTAGTATCCATCCACAAAGTGCCCAGATGGCTGTACACATGACTGCTGCTCCTTCTTGGGCTGGTCCTACAGGCTGAAAGTCCTGGCTAGAACTGTGGGCTCTTCAACTCCATGGCCTGGCCCAGAGCAGCTATTAAACACTCTCTTCCACTGGAAGAATCCCAAGGCAGAATCCAAAGTCCAAGAGAGGACATAGCCTCATTCTGGGTGTCAGAGAAAGTGACTTACATCAAGACAACCCCAAACATCTAAAATGCTCTTAAATGGACTCCATTGTGATCAGGGTGTTGTTGGAAGGCCAACCTGAATCCATGGGCGTAAGAGCTGTAGAGGGGAGGAAAGAGCAGGGAGGAAAGCTCACTCTTTCTTTCTCACTCTTACACATAAAACAGATGCAACAACAATGAAAACCCATGAAAGTTAAGGGAGGACTATTTGTGGGAAAGACAGAGGATGATGCTGGAGGAGTGGTCTTGGAGGTGGATGTGAGCAGAGCGCATTGATATGTTTGCACAAAAATGTAATAATGAAACTTACTGTATGCTTACAAAAATCTATGAGAAAATGAAATATCTGTCAGGTTTTGCTTTATATCTTGAAACACAGAAGTGTATTTTAAATATTCCCAAGGAATTTATTTACTTATCAAAACATTTTTTACCAAACTTCACACTAGCTCAAAGTTCAATTCAGTGTTTACATCTCACTACTGGTGTCTCCACCTGCATGCATTCCACAAAAACATCTTTTCGACAAAACCATGTGACCAGCAGTCACACGGTGAACCCCATGGTCAGCCTCTTTGTTCCCCTGAATGGACAAGCCACTGCTTGGCTACAAGGTCAAAGTTTGATCTCAAAGTTATTGACAAAGGAGGGGGTGCAAAATGTTCTTTTAATACAAACAAAACCCATAAGTGTCTTTCTTAAGAATGGATAATAAAAAGGAACAGCACTGTTAAACATGTTTTGGAATGAAAGAAATACAGATGTTTTCTTCTGGCCCAGCTGTTGAAACTCTTCTTGTTCTACTCCCAGGCCTCTTCATTGGGTACCACAAAGTCTTCACTTGAGGCTAGAGAATGTCTATAGTCCTCTGCCCATCCTCCTAGCCAGCTAGCTCAATGATTCTTACAGCTTTCTGAGGTAGGCATTTCTCTCCTGTTAAGTCTTCAGTAGTAAGCTTCAATATTCTGACCTGTTGCACCAACTGGACATTTTTCATCCTAGTTGCCCACACCAGGATCCTTTCACACCACCCCAGGTTAACCTTTAGTCATCAAAGTTCTGTGTTGAAATGGGTCTCTGTGAGGCTGCACTGCGAGAGCTGAGAGGCTTCTTCAGTTTGAGTTGGAACAACAAGGGAGCAGCTGCAGTTTCTTGTTTCTAGCAGCTGCTGGGTCATAATTGTTTCCATCCATAGTGTATAGAAAAACCTCTGGAATTACTGACTGAATTAAAAAAATCATCCTGGATTTTCTTTATTGTGCATTTATCCATCCTTCTTAAATCTGCTTACAGCATTTTTGAAGCTCTGGATATATTTGTGTTCCAGCTCAGCTACTAATTGCACTTTCTTCAAGGCAATGGAACCAGGGAAGAGCACACCTATAAACTGACAACTGTCAGCCTCTGAGCACAACTTTCCCTTCCTTGTGAGATTCAACTGCAAAGACTCACCAGGCTAGCATGGCACCTAGACTTTGGCTGTCACTGGGGACATCAAGTATACTGTCATTGTTATATTTAGCTGTTTCCTGAACCACTTTCACTACCCTGGAAGATATTCCGGGGAGGGAAAACAAACAAACAAACAAAACAACAAATTAAAAAAAACCCTCCAGCAACAACAACAATTCCGGGGAGGGAAAACAAACAAACAAACAAAACAACAAATTAAAAAAAAACCCTCCAGCAACAACAACAACCAGAAAAACCAACCCAAACCAAAAGATATACAATGTTAAAGACACATATTCTGGGCTTTATCAACAAGGACTGAGACATAGTTTCCTAGGAAGCCCTTCTGCAAGCCATGGAAGATACAGGAATAGCTACCTGGCCAAAGGTAATAGCCAAGAAATATAGAAAAGAAAACAAAATAGGCCATACAAAGGAGGCAGAAATGTGATTTTGACTGAGCTAGATGAATTTGGTCCATTGTGAGGAGTTGTTTCACTGGAGGGAATCATTAAGGAACCTATGTTAGGAATATTGATGTTGAAAGTCAGTTGACATTGACTTTCTGTTATCTCCATCTAATGCCTTCATTCTGGGGCCCTGACTCCTCTAAAGAGATGAAGGTGTGGGATGGTTCCAACTGGATGGTCAAAAAAGGCAGAGCATGGCTGAGGAACACCAACAGGAAGTGAGTAACAGTAGCCAGAAATGGCCTCCAGTAGTCATTGGACCTTGATCATGACAAGGAGGAGGTAACAAGTGTCCAGAAGGTGCTGTCAATATGCACCAGCTCCTGATCATCACATCTTTAGTGGGCAGAGCTTTAGAGGTGCTGCATTGCCTCCATCATCATTGAAACCAACATTAAAGAAGGGCCGTAGAGGTCCAGCAAAGGCACACTCCGAGAAGGTGTAGATGAGGGAGCCATGGTCAGTGATGTTATAGAAGGAGACAATGCCAGCTTCATAGTCTACAAAGATCCCAACTTGGCATGGAGGCACCTGAAGGTGGAGGGTGGTCTGGGGGTTGGTGCCAGCCTCATAGTTGTCTTTTTTCCACAGCCAAATGGTCCAGAAGCCATTCTCAGGACTGAGTGAAAAATGTCCCTTTCTCCGCACAGATTCTCTGCAAACCCCCAGATCCCAGGCCTCCTTCCTGGTCACATCTACCTCCCAGTACATCTTCCCAGAGGTGAATCTTTGGGCACCTAGCACCATGGGGTAATTATTAAATCTCTCATCATTTTCAGACACATTCTGACGGCTATCTCCAATCCTTGCTTGTCTCCGATCCTTTGGGATAATGAGCCATGGGTTGGCTGTGTTTCTATCCAGAGTAATATGTACTGCAGAAAGAAGATCACAGGTAAGCCTGGGTGGGGCCAGCAACTCTTTGCCTGTAGTGAGGGCATTCATGCAAACTCAAAGGTGAGGGGTGACCCTGAACCTCACTATGTGAGGAAATGACCCACAGCAACCCAGGTACTTCCTCTGACGTGTGAGGAAACCTTACCTGTGTGTCTGTACTACACTTACATTCTCTTGACACCTCTTCCACATGCTACCATCCTGTGCTCTCCATGACCGTCTACTCTGCACCCTTATTATCCCCTTCTATTCCAGCCCACAGTTCCTAGAAGTCACCTCACCCCAACATGTCCTCAGCATCTTCTTCCGCCCTGGCACATGGCATGCATTTGTCAGGTCCGGGGAGGTAACATCTAATGATTCCAGGTTCAAGGATCTACTCCTAGGGAAAAAAGAGTTTGAGAATCTTACTTGGCACTCCTGTCTTCTACTCTAGGTCCTAATAACATTCTTCATGGACTGACTTTGATAATCACATTCAATACAAACTTACAAATACTCATGAATTCACTGTCTATGTGAAAGGAAAAAAAAATAGTTTCAGAGTTCCACGTTCTAGGAAACTCAAATAAACCTCCACCTCTTCCCAAAGCTAGAGGTCACTACTAAGTGGATTCCATTTAGTTTTCAGGCAACCATCTAATAGGGTGAGTTCTGTGAAGAACCTGGGGAGTCCTAGCAGACTCAGATTACCTTTTTTTGGCGTGGGGACTTTATAAAGATGATATAGTCTAACTACATCAGGCAATCCACCAAGTGAGATGCCCATTAGCCTTTTGAGGCCAGAGAACAATTTAGAGAGGACCAGGTTTCTGAGAATAGGGTGCATGGGGAAAACTCCCAATACATGTGTGCCTAACTCAGTAACCATTTCTATGCACACATACTTCCCGTTCCCTTTTCTAACTGAGGAAACCTCTCCTTACCTTTCCAGGACAATTGTCACCTCCTGAGGAGAGAAGAGACACAGAGTCAATTCTGGAGTTTCTGATTGACAGAATTCCCAGGGTCATGTGACATCACCCATGTTTCCTCTGGGCCCTGCTCTGCAGCCTTTCCTTGGGCCACAGACAATTCTGACTAGTTCTTAGCAGAAAGGACTCATGGCTGCTCTTAGAATATCTAGGAAGCTAACATGGATATGGCCTGTAGCTAGGATATGACCAGGGCTTTACAGACTGATTGAGAAAACAAATTAGAAGGGCTAGGTTCTTGGAGGAGGGGGGTTTACCATGGAGACAGTAGAAGAGGAAAATAAATAACACAACCTGACTGAAGCCCAGAGGCAGTTGCAGGAAGAGAATTGCTGAGGTAGGATATCCAGAAAGGCTCCTTGCCATTTATGGGATTGAATAGTTTGGGGAGAAAGGGTTAGTTGGTTGAAAGCTTTGTCCTGTGCTGTGGTTAATCCTCTGCCTTATTTAGAGTGAGCTTAAGTGAGAATATTCCTTCCCATAATGTTGGAACTGGCAACCTTCTAGGCTCAGTCAAAAGGCACTAGGGAGCCAGTTCAGGGATAGGAAAGGGAAAAGCAAGGGAAAGCCTTCCAAGCCAAACCAATATAATCAGCTTTTCTGAACAAACACTCAAGGAAATGTTTATCTGAGAGACAGGGACGGAGGTGTGAGAAAAGAAGCACAGAGATCATCTAGACCATAGTCTTCCAACGTGGGGTGGGGCTAACATATCATGGGTGGATGCAAGATGGCTTTAGAATACACACGGATTTTAAAAATAATGATGTACGTGTTTCATCTTATTTTTTTGTCTCTTACTACTTAGATAAACTGACGTCATTTAGCTTGACTCTCTCACTAAGTCTCTTAATGTCTCTGCTCCTTAGTTTTCTCACCCATGGACTTGGATCACAGTAGCACTTACCTGAACCATGGTAAGTCATCTGTGTGCTGTTTAGGAATCTGCAGTTATCATTACGGGAAAAAATTAGAAAAAACAGTAGCACCAATATGTAATTTCTTAGTTATCATGCCTTGGCAAAAATTATTTTAAAGCTAAATTTATTTTGGGGAAAGAGTGAGACTATTTGCAGAAGCAGAACAAATTAAAAATCATGTAGGGAGCTCTCAGGAATCCAGGAAGTATTAAAATCCAACTACGACTAATGTTAGGCACACTTTCCTGCATCCACTCCCCTTATGGCTTCATCAGTGGAGACACTGACTATAGGAAAGAAAAACAGTCCCATAACCTATCACTATGGAGAGAAATGACACAACTCAGTTTTGGAAATTATACTTTCAAAAACATTCTTATGGCTACTTGTCTAAGCACCAGAATGGATGTTCTCATTTAATTCCTTAAAAAAGAAAATCACTTGAGATATGTAAATATATACATATATATATATATATACATATATATATATATATATATATATATATATATCCATATATCCTGGTGACGTGTGCTAAGTGTCATGCTCCAGCTCCCACACCTGGAACTACCGGGGATGTCCATCTGTTGGCTACTACTTGGAGCATGTTCTCTTGTATCTATACCCTGTTGTTCTGCAATGGAAGCCACTCCTGGGTCCACATTTCTGTTTATTTAAGAATGTCCCAAAGATTAAGGCAGCACTTGCATTAGGAGCCATTCCAGAGAGTTCTGGTTTTCTCCCAGTTACTCCTGGTGCCTGTGCATGGGTCTCACCTGCAGTAGCTCCAGCTGGGAGCCCCGGCTCCTCCTCTCCAGCTCTGCGATCAACTCCTGCAGGGCCTGGTTCTTCTCAGCTAGCTCAGCCTCCTTCTCCCCCAGGAATTTCAGGTGCTCCCTCTCATCCTTCTCCAGTTTCTGTAGCTGCCTCTGCTCTTCCTTGGCCAGCAAGCTATTCTGATGTACAAACTCCGAGTGAATCCTCGACTTTTGTATGTCCACGTTTCTCTGAGGTGGCAAGGGCAAGACAGGAGTTTTGCATTTTTAGTTTTAATAAAAATTTCCTAGGCTTTGGTGGCAGAGGCGTTTCTGTTCCCTGGTCACTCATCCCTCTGTTTATATCTGGGAATAGGTGCGCGCACACACCCACAACAATGTACGCTCTCCAGTGTGCACACGGCTGGCCTCTAGCAAACAGCATTGTTTAAGTGGCACACAGCAACTTCTGGCACCAACATCTTCTCAACTTTTCTTCCAAAACCCAGTAATGCCTATGTGAGTCCCTGTGTTCTCCTTCTATCTTGACAAGTCACAGAGAGTAAAATCTTTTCCCACTTCCAATGATGCACAATTCCTAGGCCCGAGGGGACAACAGTGGCCTCAGTACAGTCTTTGCTATCTTGGGAGGGTCACCGGATGGCACAGATGATCTCGTTTCTTTTGCCACCACAGCTTGATTCAGTCTTTGCTAATCCCATTCCACTTTTGGGGTCTGTGATTGCTCTGAGCCCCTTACACTCCTTGTCAATTTCAGATGTATCCTTTTTTCTCCTGGCAAATTACCAATGCGACAGACTTTAATTCTTTACCAGGCTTTGCACTAATAGCCTGGTCATCATTAAGCAGCCACCGAGTCAGGTGGGCCTCCTACCTCAGACTTACATAGATCCTTTCCGGCTGTTCCCTCCCCTCTTTGTCATGTCTAAAGGGTGCAGGAGTTGGGATTTTCTCACAGGATACCTCAGACCTGTTATCACAAGACCGTCATTCACCGAGACATGGTCAGAAGGGATGGTGTGACCTTCTTAGACTTTCTGCAGTAATTCTTGAACTTTGTGACAGATTGGGGGAAATCTCATCTGATTTTAAGCTTCCTTCCTTCTTTCTTTCTTAAATTCTTCTCTGTCTAGAGATATAGTGTGGATGGTCCTTGGGGAGTGACCTATATAACAATTCTCCCACCCCTTGGATAGGCACAGTCATAGTTAATGCTTGCTTGAGATCAAGACCTGGGACCCAGCCTATCCCCGGGTTCTTGCCTTCCAGTCTGTTCTTTGCATTGCAAGATCCATTTCCAGCTTCTCGGCGAATTCTTTCCCTTTCCTCAGTTTTTCTAAAGCCACGAGGAGCTTCTCCTGTAGAAAAAGGTGGTAGGTTAGTCCCCAGATAGAGATGTGGAAGAGGGGAATGGGAAGACTTTGGGGGAAACCTAGTATGTCTTACAAAACAGAGCGACACTGATGGGGAATGGGATCTGGTCATTACATTTCTAATTCACCAGGAAGCCAGAGGAAGCATAATCCACGCACATCCCACGGCATAGTCTCGGCTCCTGAGAAATAAGCTTGTATTTGATGCACAAGTTCCTCTCAATGAGAAACTACCCTCCATTCCCCTGTAAGGATGACTCTCAGTCACTATTCTGGGGAGCGGAGCATTCTTCATGGAGCACCTTCTTTATATCTATGGGTGTCTCTGTGCTAGAGCCTCACCTGGTATACCCGAGCAGCTTCTTCAATAGGGACCTTGGTGTGGTCAAGGTGTTTCCCAGACTGGGCACACACCCAGCAAAGGGCCTGCCCATCTTCCTCACAGAACACTAGAAGTTTCTCTCCATGCTTCATGCAGCGGTCTTCCTGGGTGTCCTTGTTGGCATCCCCGGCTGTTTGTTTAAGGTCTTCTACCATGTTGGCTATACGTCGAATGGGCCTGAGGTTTCTGAGCAGAAACTGTTGCCGGCACTCGGGACATATACCGCCACCATTTTTCCCGACCTCAGAAATGCATTCCTTGCAGAAGCAATGGCCACATTCGATACTCATAGGCTCCACCATGGAGTCCAGACAGATAGAGCAGATGACATTTTCCCACATCTTTTCCAGAGCCATCTTGGAGGATTTTGAGTGCAGAGGAGGAGGGAAGAGATAAATGAAAGTTTGCATGACAAAAGCAAAAGCAAGACAATACCAAAAGTTCCAAAACAATGCAAAGGAAAACATGTGAGAAAATGACACAGGAGAGGGAAACAAATGAAGGCAAGAGTATCAACCTGCACAACAGCAGCCTCTCCTCCCTAGTCTGACCCATTGATCTAGTCAGGCAGAAGGGGAAACTGAGTTTCCAGAAGAAACATTGGAAAGTGGCGGGGATAATGCTGTTAATAATTCCAGCTCATCATATCCATCCCTGCTTTAACCCTCAGTGTCCAGACTTCTCTCACACACTTTCTCTCATCTTGCGCCTCCATGGCGCGGAGAGTGACCATTTACCATATGCCATATTTACCAAGCACCCTCCATATTCCAACTGGGTGCTACATTGCTTATGTCCGTCTTCATTAATCTTGACAATAACTGCAGGAGTAAGGAGTCAAAGGTTTACGAAGTTATTCGTTACATGAGATATTTTGGTCAAATATGATGATGAATAATAGGCTATATCATAGGTTCATGGAAGTATACTTCAAGGTGTGTGTTCATTATGGCATCATCTAAGGGTACATTTCCCAGTCATTAGGGTTGCATGTGTATGTATTTATGTATATACATATATATACATAGCTGTTTTTTATCCTAAATGTTCTTATTTATAAAATATACTTGAGCACAAATGCATCAATGTAGGTGTGTCCACATGTTCTCCTATATGAATGTTTATGTACATATGTGAATATGTGTACTTATCCATACACATTTGTGGAGAGCAGTTGCCAGGCTTTTCTCTAAGACTATCCAAACCTAGTACCTGTCTTAACTTCCTTTAGGGCGCTGAGAGTCTTAAATCTACATAAATTTTCAGTAGAGCATTCTAAATGGCTAGTACTCACCTCCAGCAGAGGTCTTCAAGGGACAGGAGTTTCCCTGAGCTCCCCTCTGGGCTAGCTCACAGCCTGCTTTTCCCACCTTTACTAGCCCCCTCGTCTCAGCTCAGGCACCAGTCACTAAACAGCCCCTTCCAGGCAGGGCACCGGGAAAGTCACTTTCAGAGCCCCGCTTCCACAGGCCTGTGTGGGCAGCCAGCCAGGGCTGGAACTAGAGAACACTGCTGAAAAGAAGCAGCAGGTGCGCCGGCAGGTTCGGGTGGGAGTCGCAGGTGGGAAGGGGCGGAGGAGAGAGCACTCCTAGGTGGGTCGGGGATCCCAGCCTCACTCACCTTAGCAGGGTCCTCAGCATGGGCTACGGGTGAGCTCCCAGTGTGGCTTTCACAAGCCTGCTCCCTAAATTTCACTTTCAGTTTCCTCTCAGAGGCTAGTCTAATAGGAAGCGGGAGGAGCAAGGGGAGGAGCGGAGAGTTGAACGGCTAGGGGAGGACTCAAGCAGAGAAGGCGGAGACTGGGTGGAGCGTGTGAGAGAGAGGTCAAAGGTGCTAGAAGCTGCCGACTGCTAGCCTGCTAGCCGCAGGCACAGGTGGAGGAAACTGCCTTGCTGCCTTCGTTCTCTCTGAGGCCTCCTGGTCTTATTTAACAATGTAATCTACACGATATCGATGTGTTGCCTTTGACAAGGGTCTTCACCTCACACCTGGGAGCATCTGGGAGAAGGGGTCCGGAAGGAGAGGATTCACTATCTGCTTGCTCCATCCAGTAATGGATTCCTTCTCACAAGACTGGTAGTTCTTTAAAATCTGGGGTGATCAGTCCTCCTTCTCTGCAACTGGATTTCAGTTCAGTTCAAGGTTTAGCTGTGGCTGTCTGCTTCTACTTCCACCAGCTGCTGGATGAAGGCTATAGGATGGAATACAAGTTAGTCATCAATCTCATTATCAGGGGAGGGCATTTAAGGTAGCCTCTCCTCTTTTGCTTAGATTGTTAGTTGTTGTCATCTTTGTAGCTCTCCAGACATTTCCCTAGTGCCTGATTTCTCTTTAAACCTATGTCTCCCTCTATTATATTATCTCTTATCTTGCTCTCTTCTGTTCTTCCCTCAACTCAACCTCCCTGCCAAAGGGGTCCATACCAGAATGGTAAAACCCACAGAAACAGTTGACCTGAACAAGGCAGAGCTCCTGGTCCCCAGACTGATAGCTGGGAAACCAGCATGGGATTGATCCAGAGCCCCTGAACGTGGTGTCAGTGAGGAGACCTTGGAAATCTATGGGTCCTCTTGC